AATAAGCCACTGACATCAAATCTGTGTTTCATCATTAATAATAATTGTGTCTACACTTACCTACAGCAGCAAAAGTAAAACTGACACTGTCACTAGTGTCTGTCTGCTTCACTAATGTAGAAATGAGTTTCTCGCTGGCTTTTAACACACTGTTTCCATAAGAGGCTAGTTCAGCTGGGTTTACTGATGATGACTCTAATATCTTCTCTGAAGTGTTGAAGACCACAGTCAAAATGCTCATCACAGTCTATTGATCAGATAAATAGTTTATGTACATGTAAATATCAAGAGAGCCATTAAAACAGCACTGCTATGTTAATCATCTATTATATTGATTTGATTCAATTATTTATTGTTATTTATCTTGAAGACTTACAGTCAAAGGGAGCTCTTGAGCTGCACTGTTCTCTATCTGCTCAAGAAGATTTTGAAGACATCCTTCTGAGGTCTGACTCTGAAATCACAATTGAGCTTTACAAATAAAACTGAAAGACTCATATAAAATAATAAAATTAAAAAAAATCAGCTTACCCTGCATTGATCCGGCAGTGCGATAATCAGATCTGAAATAAGGGAATTCATCAATACAACATGAATACAGTAAAATCAAACTCCACATTCAGGTCTAGAAACATGCTCACCTGCAATAGTTGTGAAGATGTTAGTCTCACAGAAACAGGAGGACAAAGTTCTACTGTAGCATGTACAGGTGTCCTTATTACCAACACAGTAACAGTTATTACCCCAGCATCCATATTGGTTTTGGTTTCTATATATCCAGTAGTAGAAATAATGCATTCTTGTATTGCAGAACATGCGGTACTGAGCACCAGTGCAGATGTAAGTGTCGTTATGAAGCCCACAGTCATAAACTGGACTAACTGCTGCAGGAATAGTGACGCTACTGCTGTTATTTGTACAGAAGCAGGAGGATGAAGTGCTACTGTAGCATGTGCAGGTGTCCTTATTACCAAAGCAGTCACAGTTATTACCCCAGCATTCATATTGGTTTTGGTTTCTATGTTTCAAGTAGAATAAATTATTCATTCTTGTGTCGCAGTACATGCGGTACTGAGCACCAGTGCAGATGTATATGTCATTATAAAGCCCACAGTCATAGACTGGACTAATAGCTGTAGTGAGAGCAGTGATATTTCCATAAGTATTACAGAAGCAGGATGACAAAGTGCTACTGTAGCATGTACAGGTGTCATTATTACCAAAGCAGTAACAGTTATTACCCCAGCATTCATATTCATATTGGTTTTGGTCTCTATATTTCCAGTAGTAGAAATGATGCATTCTTGTGTCGCAGTACATGTGGTACTGAGCACCAGTGCAGATGTATGTGTCGTTATAAAGCCCACAGTCATAAACTGGACTAACTGCTGCAGGAATAGTGATGCTACTGCTGTTATTTGTACAGAAGCAGGAGGATGAAGTGCTACTGTAGCATGTACAGGTGTCCTTATTACCAAAGCAGTAACAGTTATTATTTAAACAGTAGTAATGGTATCTATCATAATCGAAATCATGTACACTTGTGTTGCAATACATGTGGTACTGAGCACCAGTGCAGATGTACAAGTCATTATAACGTGCACAGTCATAGACTGGACTAACTGCTATAGTGAGAGCCGTGATATTGCCATAAGTCTTACAGAAGCAGGAGGACAAAGTGCTAGTAGAGCATGTACAGGTGTCCCTATTACCAAAGCAGTCACAGTCATTATTCACACACAGGTACTGGTATTTGTACTGAGATCTCTGGTAGGAGAAGGCATGCATTTGTGTGTTGCAGTACATGCGATACTGAGCACCAGTGCAGATGTACATATCATTAAGACGCACACAGTCAGGGTCTGTAACTGAACTAACTGCTGTAGTGAGAGCAATGCTATTGTTGTAAGTCTCACAGAAGCAGGAGGACAAAGTGCTACTGTAGCATGTACAGGTGTCCTCATTAACAATGCAGTAACAGTTATTACTAATGCAATGGTATTGGTTTTTGCTCTGATACCTCAAAAAGTAAAAATGATGCATTCTTGTGTTGCAGTACATGTGGTCCTGAGCACCAGTGCAGATGTACGTGTCGTTATAAAGCAGACAGTCAGGGATTGTGAATGGATTACGTAATGAAGAGATAGTGATATTATAGCCATAATTTGTACAGAAGCAGGATGACGTATGACTGTAGCACCAACAGGAGTCCTTATTAAAACGACAGTCACAGTTATTACTCCAGCATTCGTACAGGTATTGGTTTTGGTAAAGATGTCTGGAGTAGCTAAAATAATGCACCGTTGTGTTGCAGTACATGTGGTACTGAGCACCAATGCAGATGTACGTGTCATTCTTAAACTCACAGTCCAAGACAGGTCGAACTGCTGTAGGGACTATGATGTTATTGCTAAAGATCTCACAGAAGCAGGACGAAGTATTATAGTAGCATGCACAGGTGTCATTATTACCAACACAGATACAGTCATTACTCGTGCAGTGGTATTGGTGTTGGTCTTGGTCTCTCTGGTAGTAGAAATGATGCATTCTTGTGTCGCAATACATTTGATACTGAGAACCGCTGCAGATGTACGTTTCATTATAAAGCACACAGCCATAAGCTGGACTAACTGCTGCTCTTGGTTCAGCAGCAGTGGTAGATATGAAAGCTGAGAATGAGAAAGATGGGATCAAAGTCAGAAAACACAAATACCAAACCAGGTGAATTTCCAGCATGTTTAGCACATTTAAATTAACGTGAAACACATGAGTTTACACTGTTTTACATGCATTTCTCAATACTGAGTTTTGTCTTTCAACAGTTAACAAAAATGCATGATCTGTGGAGTACACTGTTGAGTTGTTTTGACATGTTGTATCAATCCTTTAAAATACATTAAATATTTTCTAAATATTTCATTAAGACATGTATGCATTTGGAAAGCATTTTGGAAGTGAGATTAGCTGGTCTCTTTATTTGCATCATTAACTTATGTTAAGAGTTTTACAATGACTAAGTACTAAGAAATAAATGTAACCGATGGTATAAAAAATGTTATAAAGTTTGCAGGGTCAACAGACCCATGTGTTTGAAGAAAACTATCGGCTTGCACTCACACAGGATTAAAGAGATGACAGTCAACAGTGACCATACACCACCTGGCATAAAAAAAAGAAAAAATTTAAAATGTTGTTTTTCTACTATGAGAATTTATTCACATTACACACAAATATTAAATGTTTTTCAAAGCAGATCTTTTGGACTGACATGTGCACCAAAAATGCTATTATTTTCAATAATCAGAGTAAGGACTTAATCACAATAAGACACAATCAAGCTCTTTACTCAACCTAAAAGTTGACTGTTTACTATTGTCCTCTTTTTAGAGCTGCTCTACAGCATAATTTAATTTTGTTTTATTAACACTATATTCATGATAAAGTTGCTTTGACACAATCTGTATTGTACAAGAGTTGAGTGTCATCAGAATAGCAGTGATATGAAAAGCCATATTTCTGAATGACAGAACCTAGTGATGCCATGTAGACAGAGAAGGGAAGTGGTCTAAGAACAGAGCCCTGAGGCACCCCATAGTTAGATGCTGCGACTTGGACACCTCACCTCTACAAGATACCTTGAAGAACCTATCTGAGAGGTAAGACTCAAACCACTGGAGTGCGGTTCCTGAGATGCCCTTTGCCAATCGGGTTAACAGGAGGATCTGGTGGTTAATTGTGTCAAAAGCAGCGGACAGGTCCAGCAAGATCACAATTGAAGATTTTGAATCTGCTCTTGCCAGTCTTAGGGCTTCAACAACTGAGAGCAAGGCAGTCTCGGTTGAATGTCCACTTCTGAAACCAGACTGGTTGCTGTCGAGGATGTTGTTCTGTGTGAGAAAGGCAGATACTTGGTTGAACACAGCTCACTCAAGTGTTTTTTGCAATAAAATGAAGAAGGGAAACCGGTTTGTAGTTCTCTAAATGAGAAGGGTTAAGGGTGGGTTTTTTTTAAGTAGAGGGTTTATACGAGCCTGTCTAAATGCTGAGGGAAAAACACCAGTGTGAAAGGATGTATTAACGATGTGAGTGAGCGCAGGTATAAATCCAGGGAAAATGGCTTGAAGGAGATGAGATATGATCAAGTGGATAAGTCAGGGGTAGGCAAGTTCGTTCCTAGAGAGCTGCAGTCCTGCAGAGTTCAGCTCCAACCCTATTCAAACACACCTGAACAAGCTAATCAATGTCTTCAGGATTACTAAGGCTATAGGCAAGTGAGTTTTTTTTCAGGGTTGGAGCTGAACTCTGCAGGACTGCAGCTCTCTAGGAACGAACTTGCCTACCCCTGACTTATCCACTTGATCATATCTCATCTCCTTCAAGCCATTTTCCCTGCATTTATACCTGCGCTCACTCACATCGTTAATACATCCTTTCACACTGGTGTTTTTCCCTCAGCATTTAGACAGGCTCGTATAAACCCTCTACTTAAAAAAACCCACCCTTAACCCTTCTCATTTAGAGAACTACAAACCGGTTTCCCTTCTTCATTTTATTGCAAAAAACACTTGAGTGAGCTGTGTTCAACCAAGTATCTGCCTTTCTCACACAGAACAACATCCTCGACAGCAACCAGTCTGGTTTCAGAAGTGGACATTCAACCGAGACTGCCTTGCTCTCAGTTGTTGAAGCCCTAAGACTGGCAAGAGCAGATTCAAAATCTTCAATTGTGATCTTGCTGGACCTGTCCGCTGCTTTTGACACAATTAACCACCAGATCCTCCTGTTAACCCGATTGGCAAAGGGCATCTCAGGAACCGCACTCCAGTGGTTTGAGTCTTACCTCTCAGATAGGTTCTTCAAGGTATCTTGTAGAGGTGAGGTGTCCAAGTCGCAGCATCTAACTATGGGGTGCCTCAGGGCTCTGTTCTTAGACCACTTCCCTTCTCTGTCTACATGGCATCACTAGGTTCTGTCATTCAGAAATATGGCTTTTCATATCACTGCTATTCTGATGACACTCAACTCTACCTCTCATTCCATCCGGATGATCCGACGATAGCTGCTCGCATCTCAGCTTGTCTAACAGACATTTCTTGCTGGATGAAGAACCATCACCTTCAACTCAACCTTGCCAAGACTGAACTGCTTGTGTTTCCATCAAACCCCTTGTTTCATCACAATTTCACCATCAAGTTAGGCACATCAACCATAACTCCTTTAAAAACAGCCATTATGTTATGATTTGATGATCAGCTGACTTTCTCAGACCACATTGCTAAAACTGCCCTGTCCTGCAGATTTGCTTTATTCAACATTAGGAAGATCAGGCCCTTTCTTTCGAGACATGCTTCACAACTCCTTCTTCAAGCTCTTGTCCTATCCAGGCTGGACTATTGCAATGCTCTCTTGGCAGGTCTTCCAGCCAGTTCTATCAAACCTTTACAATTAATCCAGAACACGGCAGCAAGATTAATTTTAAATGAGCCAGAAAGAATGCATGTCACACCTATGTTTATCAATTTGCAC